AGCCTTTTAGCTAACATGATTTGGTTAAAAGAATAGGAAGGAAGGGAAAGGAAAGGAAAAGATTTTCACTAATTAAATGAAGGTTTCCGTCCAATGCTTCATTTGATAAAACAAAATTGTTTTCTTTTCATTTCTATCAACCCATACAAGCTATGAATGTGTACACATGTTATACATGGCCATGGGTGACTTTGAAACTTTCCTCCATATTCATGATCGGAATTCCCATTATTTTAACAACTTTCCTTGCCAAATTACTTCTTTGAGGGTCAGTTTGATATAGTGGTTTGGAGATAAAAGTTAACGGTTTTACCCAAACTACTAAAAATAAATATTTAGTAAACTTATTTATTTCAAAATAGTTACAAACTAAATGTTTGGTAAAACTTTTTAGGACAATAATTGATACATCATCTAGTTCAACACACTACATAATACACTTATTAAAAAATCAATATTTTTTAGTCTGAAATTAAAGACAAACAAGTTTAATGATACAATCATGCACATAAGATACAGAAATCGATTGAATTGACTGTATTTATATTATATTTTTTTGGACTAAACTTAGAGTGTGTTGGAAAATGTATTGAACCAAGGGTGTACCAATCATTTTTCAACTTTTTATTTAGCGGTATGAAACTAACGGATAACAGTTTGAAATTAACGGATAGCAGTTAGAGTACAAATTGCTAGTAGATTAAAAAAGCTACCTAAAGTTGCTTTTTTGTACCAAATCATAGCAAATTGAAAATTTTTAATTTTATTGACAAAGTTTTCCTTTTTAATTTTTTAATTTTTGGTTACGGTTTTTAATTAGTATTTATTTAATTAGTTTTAACTTTGTTTTTTGTCTTTAATAATATTAAGTAATTATTATATTTTTATTTTTACATTATCAAAAAAATATTAGCTTAATAAAAAAATTTGCTGATTAAATAAAAAGATTAAATTTTTTTTGTACTTTCTTTAAAACTAACATAATTTTTTATTTATTAAAAATAAAAATTAGTGTATGTTTATACTATTATAATTTATTTATTTATTTATTATTTTTATAAAATTAATAATTTTAATAATAAAAAATAAAAATATTTTAAAAAATACACTTATTTGTTTTTAAATATGTCTTTATTAATAATTTAATATTAAAAAACAATCACTAACTATTATATAATCAAATAGTTATATTGATACCAACGAGGGGTTGGATCAAGTGGTAAGCGGCTTATTCCAACTTAAGTAAGGTCTCGAGTTTGAGATCTTGTGTACGCAGCAGCCTTCGTTGGGAAACTCATCCATCATTTTTAAGTGTGCGACGCGGGTCGTGTCCAGATTAGTCGGGGTGAAGCCCCGGATACCGGGCGGGAAACCAAAAAAAAACCAAAAAAAAATAGTTATATTGATCAAATCCTCTTTTTATTATCTACTACCAGCTTTCTGTTATCAATTATCTGTTACCTTTTACCTATTATCCGTTAAATTTTAACCGTTATACCAAACAAGTCTTTAATCCCAATACATCTTGACGGTGGGTTAAAGTTGCTCAATCAATGCGGGACAAAGACCATGTTTTTTTCTTGACGAAGGGATAGAGACAATAAGGAGATTTATTATCATGTGATTGGTGTTTTTTAGTCTAAATTTTGCATAGTTAAAATAAGGAAAACGATTGATGCACCTTTTAATTCAACTCATCCCATAACACCCATTAAAATATGCAACTTTTAGTTTTCCTATATTTCATTTAAATTTAAAAATAATAATTTTTTAATGAGTGTTGTGAAATATGTTGAATTTTTCAATTATTGTCTTTAATATAATTTAAATTACAAAAGTACCAAAACATTCCCAATGAATCTTATTCACTACAAGTATTTAAATATTTTTATAGAAAAAAAAAAAAAAAAACATTTCTGGCTTAACATTATAGTTTTAGATTCTAACCCTGTTCTAGTTCAAGATAAATACTACATCATGGCTACCAAAAAGTAAAAAGCAGATCTTGTATCAAAGGCAAATTATAATAACAATGGCGATATGAAATGGACATGCACCCTTTTCTCACTACTTTTCCAAAACGCGTTTTCGACTTTTCATCGTTAGATTTCGTACCTTGGAATCGAGTTTCCTCTCCCCTCCCCAACCTTAATTCCCAAAAAAGGACAAAAAAAAAAAAAAGGAAAACAGATTACATGCTTCATTCAAAGAACCAATAGAGGGACCCAAAGGTTGAAACATTGAAAACATGAGCTGGTTGCCAAGAAGAAAGTTGT